TTTATTTTTCTATATTGAAGCGCAATGTTCAAAGTGTGCATAATGTTATACAGGCTTAGAATGATATAAAATATTCTTTTTAGAAATAAACTAGTTTTGGATGAATGTTTTCAAAGTGGAGTGCAGTAGCAGCGGGATCAGACTGGTGGTGCTCGCGTCTCGTTTGACTCGCCAGCCTCCCACTGGCACATCTCCCTCTCCTCTTCCTCTTCCTCCTCTCTTCTCCCCTCTCCTCTTCCTGATGGCCATCGTCTCTCCGCATCCGTCCCTTCTCTCCTCTATCCACATCCCCCCCACCACCCCCCACTGCGATATAACTACCCCCCCTTTCACTTCCTCGGTTTCCATCGTTGCGCTCCTCGCCGGGATTAAATTTGGCTGCAGCCGGCTGCTGAGCGCTTGAGCAGCAGCAGCTGAGGATCAGGAGGAGGGCTCGGAGAAAGAAGAAGAAGAAGAAGAGGAGGAGGAGGAGGATGTGCGGCTGGCGACGATAGAGCAAGGCGGACTGTCTGTGGATGTATTCCGGGATTATTTTTGGAAAGCAACATCTGGGCCGGATGCAGATGAGGTGCATGGACTGCACTGCCTTTATGTCTTCACGTACGGGCGTGTGTGCGTATGTGTGCGCGAGTGTCTCCGAACGCCTGTATGCGTGTGATAAGGTCACAGTGTGAACCTGCCCGCTTTTTGTTTTCTCCCTTACATCCATTCATGACATTAACCAAACACTTAATTGACTTCATTTGTCTTCTGCATGGGCAGTACGGTGGTGGAGTGCTTAGCATGTCTGCATCACAGTTGTGAGGTTTGGCGTCTGAATCTGGTTCCTTTCACGTTCCCAGAAACATACATCGATTCTCTAGTGTTCATAGGTGTGTGAATGTGAGTGTGAATCATCTATTTGTGCCATGAGATTGTCTGGCGACCAGTCCAGGGTGTACCCCAAAGTCATCTTCAACTCACCTGCCACCCTAATGAGGGGAAAGCGCTCTAAAACATGGATGGATGAATGGATGGATGAATGGATGAATAAATATTCGCTTTTGGAAGCGTTTCAAGGGCAGCACATTAGTGGTGAGCATGTCATGCTTCACAGTTGAGAGATTCTACATGGGTTTGAGTTTTTCCTGTGTGAAGTTTGAATGTGCTTGCATGAGTAGCTCGACTTGCTGTCATGTTCTAAAAACGTGCATGTTAGCTTCATTGAAGGCACTAAATTGCTCATAAATGTCAATGTGAGTGTAAATGCTTGATTGATTTTTTTTTTTTTATGCCCTGCAACGAACGAGCTGGCCCCATGCGTCTCTTCTTAAGTCATTTTATGATAATAGAATCGAAGACTCAAAAATGTCCCAAGGTGTTAATGTGAATGATTGTCAATATGTGTCTCGCCATAAGGAAACAAACAAAAAGAAACGGGCCTCCTCTAAGGCCAAATCATCCTCACTTAGCTGAACAGTTATTGATACTTCCTGCAAAAGCGCGGTTTGTAATTTAGGCTTTATCGAATATTAACAGGCAGCGTGGTGTAAGAGTGGTTCGAGCGTCTGCCTCACGGTTTAAAGTTCCAGGTTTGAATCCTGTTCTCACTGTGCCAAAAATATGTATTGTATGTTGGGTTCATACAAGACCATAGGTGTCAATGTGAGTGCTTGTTTGTCTATGTCAGGGATGGGCAACTTAAATGATGGAGGGGCCCACAATTTTTCATTCGTGCTACCGTGGGGGCCACATCCTAACCAAATGTAGAACAACATTGCTATTTTAATGGGACTACTAAACTTATTTAGCCATTTTCAGCAGTAAAAAGTTAATATTTTGACGATAATGAATTTGAGAACTTGATAACAGTTAACACCTCTGCATGTGGCCAATTGCTGTCGACTGAAAATTCACAAAACAAATTATTCAGTACCTGGTTTGGGCCTAAAAACGTCCAACAATTGTTGTCCATTGTTTTCCAAAGTAAAAGCAGATGTAGTTTGCAAATGCCTGAAATGTTTTCAATTTTTCGGGCTCAGAGCTCAGGTAATGACCAATCACGGCTCAGTTTATGAATATCACATGAGCCGTTATTGGTTGTTACCTGAACCCTTAGCACATTCAATGTCATTTTCAGCCGAAAATTGCTGAATAAATTAAGTATCCCTTAAATATGGTCAAAATACATGGATATGTGCAAAATACATATGCTCCATGTGGTTCTATTTTGGATTGGTGGAATAAAATTGCCATCCTTGTGAGATTCTACCCTGTGGATAACGATAAAGCCGTACAACGCCAGATGAGTGCTAATCGCGGCGTTAATCTCTGCCGGCCGCCAGCTAGTGCACCGTCAAATCAATGTGGCGGGAGGTTGCTTGGTTATGCATGACTGAGGAGATGTGTTTGTCGTTTTGTAAACGCACACTATGTAACCCCCGTGGTAGATGACGGGGCGACGGAGGTGATGGCGAGGCCGTGGAGGTTCTCCTGGCTCTGGTCTCTTCCTCTGGTGCTAGTTTGGGAAGGAAGTCATCACGGATGATAGACTGTCTGTGGAGAAAAGGGTTGGCAGGTCTCGTCTTTCCATCTATGAAGTGAAAATGGAAATCTTTTCATTCTATTTGGAAGGTCTTCATTAAGGAATGTGTCAAGTCAGTACGGAAGCATGGAACTGCCAATGTGAAATAAACATATTTGCATATATATATATATATATATATATATATATATATTCTCCTGTATGCGGGCGTGTATATACACAAAGATAGGTATGCAATTTTAAAGGTGAATAAGATTTAAATTGTATTACAGTACTCAATAACAGTCTGATAAAATATTGACAATTTTGCTCCCTCTACACTCGAGCATTCAAACCTTGATGACATCATTACAGTTTTATACTTAGAGGCAATTCATGAGTTAAATATTGTGACACGACTTTTTAAAAACTTTTTTTTCCTGTCTTTGCTGAGTTGTATTTTATACACACACACACACACACACACACACTGTTTTTTACGTGGTAGAATTAAAGCCAAGTCAAGTAAGTCGTTGGGAGCATACACTTGCCCAAAATTCTGGTAAGATGGAACGCAAAGCCTCCCGTCAACCCCGATTGATTCATTGAATCAGAGATGTGTCCCAAGACTTTTGACAATAATTGTTGACCAGGACAATTGACATTCTAAATGCTTTCCATTCATTGATTCCATAAGCAAGGTGTCATGTTTTGCAGGGCGTTCTGTCCTCTACAAGCCTTTGTCACTGGAAATGCTGACTTAGCATTTCTCCAAGGGATCACGCGTTTACAGAATTGCCATGATGTGCCTGTCATTTGTGTGTGGATGTGTGTGTGAGTGGGTGGGGGCAGCCATTGTTGTTTTGTCTTTGGTGTCAGAAGCTTTTAACTTGATTGAACCGTGCTCTTATCCCAAACACACAGTCCAAATAAAACTTCAGCATGCATCTGATCTGAGCCGAATTATGTAGTTTTATGTATGACTTGTTGTCAGCTTGTTTGCATCGTGTCACAATTGGCTTTGGAAAGGGGGAAGAAGATGCTGCTCTTACGGGCAACGGGTTTAGAAAAAAAGAGTACTGCATTTTGTCGTTTTTGCATACCAGTGGCGGGGAGTTTTGGACCTTGAGTGGGTATTTCAGTCACCTTATCCAGCTCTTAATAACACCATTATGTCGCAAAATAATATGCAAAAAGGTTATAACTATGCCTGGCATTAAAGAAGAGATGGGCATTTTGAGTATTTGAGGATGAATGCTGTAAATTGTTAGTTAAAAACGATATAAGAGTGCATTTCATAAGATGAAGCGCTGCAGGTAGACGCATTGGGGAAAGTCGTTCTTTACTATAACGCCGTCTTGAAACAAACATTTACAACCAGCTACAAGATTTAGCTCACCTTCAAAGGGTGAAATAAATACTAAAGACATGCTAACCGAGACAGACAACATAGCTAACTAGCATGACTAGCATCAGTTTGTTCTCCGTTAACCCTGCAAAGCGAAGAAGTACCTTCTCATTTTCTGAGAAATTAGTACTTTTGCTGTCATACTACATTTTGATTTTCTTTTTTAAAATATGCTTGTTTTTTTCTTTTTATCTCTGATGGGGAAAAGTTATTTCTCAACTTTATTTTTAAAACACTTTAAAAAACCCACAGCTGCATATGAAGTGTTTTACCATAAAGTAAAAATCAGACATAAAAACACCGTAGTTAAAAGAATAAATTAACATAAAAACAGCAAACACGATAAAATACTAAAAGAGGGAACACAACCTTTTTTGAAAATCCGGAGATTTACTTCTCAAGCAAGCATGATCGACCCGTTACCACATGTGCACGCATACATGCATGCGCACACCCATGCACACACACGCATACGCATTCGCGCACAGTGTAGCCTAACAAAAAAAATATTAATGACAAACAGACATACACATCTTTCCCTCGAAAATGTCCCTCTACACCCCTTGCAATCAACTTGGGACGAGCTACCGGTCGATCGCGATCGACTTATTGGGCACCCCAGCAATGAAACAAGCCAAAGAATAAAAATGTGCTTTAAGGGGAGTTTCAAAATGGACAGAGAGGTAGCTCGCTGAATGTTTAACGGGAGGTCATTCCAAATGGAGGGACAGAAAATGGAGAAGGCTTGAGCCCCTCTTCGCCTTTACTTAAGTTCTCGGTACCCCCAGTCTTCCCAAACGTTTCAAAATAATACCTTTTTGAGTTGTCATTGCAATACCGTGAAACCACGATAATTTTGACGGTTATCATACAGTCAGAATCAGACCAGTCAGTCAGCCCAAACCTAATATGTTTTAGCACATTTGTTTACAGCTTGTAGTCGGGGCAAAACTATTGTGGGCCCGAAACGTATCCCCCATGTTAAACAGTGAGTTCACTTTACATTTGAAGGATATATGCATACGTGTGTGCAGTATAATGAGTCATGTGGCCTCTTGTAAGCCTTTTTGGCTTTCCTTTTGTTCACAGGGGGGGTTGTTGACAAGGACCTGCGGCACTACCTCAACCTTCGCTTCTCCAAAGGCTCCGTGGACCACGACCACCAGCAAATCATCCGAGACAACCTGTACCTGCGCACCGTTCCCTGTGAGTCTTCCTCCTCCTCCTCTTCTGCTCAGCATCCACACCATCTGTGCAATTGTCTCTTTTATGGACTTTTTATCGCTCACTTAGATAGACCACCCCTCCCCAAACTCCCCCCTCCCCACCTGCCCATTTCATTTCTTTTTCTCTGTTTGAGTTTCCCTGTTTGCCGCCCTCAGGATGTGTTGCGCTCCTTCTCCATTTTTCTTTTTGCATATTACACACAGGCTCTTTCTCGCAGTCTCTCGCCGCCTAGCGCGCCTTCCTTCTCCATCGTCCGGTTGCTGAGCTTTCAGCCTGAGGTTTCCACGGCAACCAGCCTCTTGTCTCAAGGCTTCTGTTGCATTGGCGACCCCAACCCCCCTTTCAGCTAACAAACACACACACACACACACACACACACACACACACACACACATACACAGACGTACATATCAAGATAAGAAAACATCACTTGTTTGGTGATGGGTCTTTTAGGTTTACACACACACACACACACACACACACACACACACACACACACGTGCGCGTACAAGACTGCATTGCATTGTAGACATGCACAGTGTTTTTGGTGTGTTCCCCCTGCACCTTTTTGAAGGGCGATGTCATTGCTGTCAGAGCGCAGCAGCTTGTGAATCAGCTTCGAGGCTCAAGCGGCTCCCTGGCATGACTCTGCAGACTACTAAACACGTTATATTCCCATTTAATGTGTCGCGTGATCATGCCGTGCATACACAGAGGCTCAATGGAGAAGGAGCTTGATTGCGGGCGTGCAAACATGCTTAATGCAGAAGTTCTCTTGTGTGTATGTGTTGTATATATTGTTTGTTGCCTTCATGTGAGGTCAACCATATTCTGACATTTAATTGTGAAGTCATATTTTTGTCTAATGTGGGCGGTGCCTGGTGTCGAAGTGTAATGATCATGTCGAGCATGGAAAAGCAGGTGCGAGTGCCCGTTCCTACTCGCAGCTTTGATTTGTATTTTCATTTTACGCGTGTACTGTGCTGTAAAATTTATGCAAAACATTACCATCTGTTTAAAAAGGGAAGAAATTTAAAATGGTACACCTTCTGTTTCTGACTAGTTCTAGTTAATTGAACAAAGAGGGATAGCTACACCTGCACACTTTTATGAGATGCAATACAAAAACTTAAGCATATATTCTGATTTTACAAAGATGACAAGGAATATGCGGTGCTTAACAGCCACATTCTATCTCTCTGGGTCTTTTGTGGATTCTTTTTCAGCATCGTAGTGAACCACCATTTATTATGTTCCGGACCAGGGGTCACCAACATGGTGCCCACAAGCACCAGGGAGCACTCAAGGACTACATGAGTAGCAAGTGAAAGTGTTACAGAAACTGTTTGATTCCATTTAATTATGTAATGACTCTGTTTTTATGAAATACCATATGATAGAGATGTTTTTACTCATTTAAAAACCGCATTACAACATTTCTTGTTGTTATCACGAAGCACCACTGTATACACGATCATTCAAAAGTGTGGCAGTCAATTAGAATTGCCCTTAATTATTAAAGAACAGTACTGCAATTTCTAGAACACTAGATAACCCTAAACCACCTGGGATAGGCTCAAGCTAACCCATGACCCTAGTGAAGATAAAGGATGTATAAAATGGATGGATGAACCAAAACACAAGCATCACTTTCGTAAGCTTTTGTCTTTGGCCGTTCATTTTGTCCACATCATCCAAGGGGAGGTCAAGTAAAAAAAAAAATCCCCCTACTAGTGTAAACACAGAATTGTGACTAATATTGTGTTTGTGGAATATGCATTTAGCAGAAAAATCTACCAGTTTTTATCCATCACAGGGGGCTGCCATTTGGTCGTGTACTGTCAATTGTTGGCACCTGAAAATGACATCACAGTGTGCAAGGGCTCAGCTACCGACCATGACCAAACCAAGAAAACAGGTGAACCCTGACAGTCATTACGAGACCTTCGGCACTGTGATGTCATTTTCAGTCAACCGCAATTGGCAGCACAAGGCCGTTCATATTCCACAAATGCAATATTAATCAGAATACCCTGTTTAGACTGTAGGGGGGCCTAGAACATAGTCTTGTAAAAAACATTTTAGACTCGACTTCCCCTTTAAGCCTTTTCCTTCTGTCACATTTGTTTTGTAAATGACGGCATGAGACAAATTTCAAGTCAGCCCGCTCGACCGACCAATTGAACCTTGGCTTTTTCCACCATTTTTCAATGAAAAAAAGCCGCATCTGACTGTGGAAATACTCCCCCCGCTGTGTGATGTGCGAGGACACTCATGACACCCCTTAATTAAATGCCTATCATTTAACAAAGCTCATACGGTGTAATGGAAGATTAGCTCGCAAGGCATCCTGCGCCTCACTTTGATTCACATGCTGAATTGGCTTCTTAAATATGCCATGTCACACGTGTTCTGTTGTACGACCTTTTGCTGGGCCAGCGGGGGGTCACCATTCGGCTTCTTTCATCGAGCCCACGGAGCATTTACGCTTTTATCATAATACAGTGTTCTGTAATATTTGTGGCCGCCATTAAAATGTTTTTTTCTTATATTTGTTAATTAATTAAAATGTGTTTAGTCTTCATTTCACCGAGGGATGGGCTAATTTATGTTTTTTCAGTTGCTGGTAGGAAAGGTACAGACGTGTTCTCGACACTGACATTGATAGCGCACAGAGAGCTAATGTTAGCTAGCTGTTATGTTTTGCTAAATTACTCAGACTGAAACCAATCATAATTGAAGTCAGTCTTGTGATCTTGTGTACAACTATATGCAACATCCACTCGGTATATCGTCTTCACCCACAAGTTGTGCTGGATGAAATAACGTAAATTAAGGGTCACCAACCTTTTTGAGAGCTACTTCTTGGGAACTGATTAATGGAAAGCGTTACTAGTTTGATTTGCACTTCTAAAATAAGAACTGTGTCCACATTACGTTTAATAATGGTATTATTAGAGTCTGACCTATTTAATCGGCCAATATCAGCTCTTTTATAATGGTCAAAAATGAGCAAAAAAAAATCTGTTGAGTATTTTTCAATTAATCGTCATCGAAATGTTATTCTGCAAAATATAGTATCAGAATCAGGACAAGAAAAAAAATCAATTTCGGTCATACTGCAGTTATTCTAAGTTATAATGAGCAATTAATGCGATTCATTTATGTGAAGACACTGATAATGTTAATGATTTCTCATAATATTGGGGAAACAGAAAAATATCTACATGAAATATGTTACTTCTATAAATATCTGATCAATTGATCAGTATTAACATTCCTGGGAAATCCCAATCATCCCATCACTGATGAGCTATTTTTACAACAGTCCACGTTCACCACGTTGGTGACCCCTGAACTAAAACATATAGGGACTATCTGGCAGTGCAACCTGAAACACAACAAACTTTTCTCATTGTTTTCAAGTCATTTTCTGCTTACCTGGGAGGACCCTCATGCCAGTTGTTCACAAACATGAAATTAGCTGTAGAAAATGGATGAATGGACCTTTGTCCGCGGCTGCATAATGTGTGTTGTTTGTTGAGCTTGCTGCTCAACCTTCACGTGCAAAGGTGCGGCTGCGGCGGTGGCCTGCGGGTCGCTTTGTTGTGTTGCTTGGGAGCGAAAATCCGTTTTTCCTCCCCGTGTCTGCACTGCTCTGACCGCCGCGCTGTCAGTGTGTGTCTGTCAGCTTGATGAGCAGACGCCATTCTGCATCATAACATGCTGTCACGCTGAAGGACGTGGTAATGGTCAAAAATGAGCGTGTGTGTGTGTGTGTGCGTGTGTGTGTGTGTGTGTGTGTGTGTGTGTGTATACACAAAGTGCTGCAAGGCTCACATTCAGGCATCAACAGCTTCCTGTTACATCACACAACTCATTGTTGGTCTTCAGCTGTATGTTATATTGTACAGTGTGTGAGCCTTTAAATACACACACACACCACACCAGATACTGTAAACAATGATTGTCAAATTATAAAACAAGTACCACTAGTGATACATGAATGAATCACTTGCCATGTACAGTTCAGTTGTATTCATTCACATTTCACCTTTAAGAACTGCATAAACACCCCTTAAAGGCACATGCCCAACACACGAGTGCTGCAGGATAATGTGGAACCTCAGGTTACATACGATCCTGTCAACAAACAATTTGAGTTATACACAAAGAGAAAAAATACCTCTGTTTACATAGTATTTTTAGTGTCCGAACACTTGGATGCTGTGCTGGTTCTTGTGCCACGTAAGCATCGTTAACTCATAACGCATTGCTGTTAACTGAAAACTAGTTTTATCTCTCGACGGCGTAAGGTGGAAAGCAGCTGCTTTTGTAGATCAAAGTTTTCACCTCCGCATTCTCGATCATCCAGTCATTTTATTTTTGTCCTAAAATATTATCAACAGTATTATTTATTGAGGCGGCCCGGTGGTACAGTGGTTAGCGCATTGACCTCACAGCGCACTGACCTCTCAGTGCAGTGGTCCAGCTCCAGCCTCCCTGTGTGGAGTTTGCATGTTCTCCCCGGGCCTGCGTGGGTTTTCTCCGGGTACTGCGGTTTCCTCCCACATTCCGAAAACATGCATGGCAGGCTGATTGAACACTCTAAATTGTCTCTCGGTGGGAGTGTGAGCGCAGATGGTTGTTCGTCTCTGTGTGCCATGCGATTGGCTGCCAACCGGTTCAGGGTGTCCCCCGCCTACTGCCCAAAGACCGACTGGGATAGGCTCCAGCATGCCTCAGGACCCTTGTGAGGATAAAGCGGTTCAGGAAATGGATGGATGGATGGATGGATTATTTATTGAATTGTGGTGTCTCTTTAACTAAGTAATTAGCAGTTCATGTCGGTATAATCATGTCAAAATAGAAATACATGCATACATACATTCACTTGCAGTCATAGTTTTGAAAAACCTGTAATTGCCTTCCCCCATAAACTCATCATGATTCAGTTACCGGTTTAAGTTAAACAGTGG